AAATAATTTTTTCAAATGTTTTGTTATATCAAAAAGGGGGAGATTGTTGAACCATGTTTTATAATATTTGATATAATAAATTAAGGCAAAATGTTTTTGGATTTGAATTGAATTTATTCAAAGTTTTCAATGTTTTCAAAAATAATTCAAAGTCCATTAAAAGTGAATTTGAGCACAAAATTGATTTTCAACATACGTAGTACCGATATTATTCTTACAATATTGATACTATATGAACAATATCGATAATGTTCATGTGGTATTGATACACTAGGTAAGAGACGTATCGATACTCTCTAGGTAGTATTGATACTACCATCATTGCTCAAATTTCATAATGCAAAAATGGTACCGATACCCAAAGGGGTAACGATACTACTCTACATAGTAGTATCGATACCATATGTTTAGTATCGATACCACCAGACCCAATAACTAGTAACAACTAGTTTTATTTAAATATTACAAAGGTAGTACCGATACTCCCTATAGGAGTACCTATACCCTCTGTAATAGGCAGTTTATTTTTACAGAGAAAGCATCCTCAAATGGCTAGAAATCATCCCCAACGGCTGTAAATGGCCACAAACTCATTCTAACATATAAATACAAGTTCAAGACACTTGAAGAAGGGTAAGAACACCTATTCAAGCAATCAAACACAAGAGAAGAGCTTTTTACTCTTTATTTCTATTCTCTTGTAAATATTAGTGTTTAGTAAGCTTTAAGTTGTAAACACCTTCCTTTTTAGAGGTTTTCTTTGTTTACATCTTTTTCCTTGTAAATGGGTTTTGGTTCTAGCTAAGCCTTTGAAAAGCTAGGAAGTTTGTAAAAGGTTACTCTTGATCCTGTAAAAAGAAAGAACAAATTAGTAGATTTGTTGGAAAATCTTTAGTGAGGAGCTAAGGTAGTGGAGGTAGACTTAATTGAGAAGTCGAATCACTATAAATCGCTATGCAAAATTGTCTGTCTTTTCTTTCTCATTCTCCTTAAACAATTTTTTGCCAATTCACCCCTTGTACATTTCTCGGTTGTTCAAATTGAGCATAGTAAATCCCAACACATTCTCATTGCTCATGCCCACATTGACATAAATAAGTCTAGAGTGCTTTCATAACATTTTTCTGAAAAATGCAACCATAACATTTTTTTCATCACTGACATCATCATCAGTAGCCCAAACATCCGTAAAATTTTCCCCTTCCATATCATAATCACCATTTTCCAGAGAAGCACCCCACTTTCTAATAATAATCTTGATTTGAAAGGAAAAAACCAATAGATCTTACTGTGAATGAACTAGGTAGTTCTGATGGACTCACAATTCTAACCATTATGCTAGCATAATCCAGGCGATGCATTTTCAAAGTGCTTTCATCCGTACCAACGTAGACACCCATCTGTTGCCTAAGGTTGAAAAGAAATACTTATACCAACACGTAAGAGAACACTAAAGAGATTAATACAACAAACTTATAGGGGATACCATTAATAAGAAGAGGGGCTAAAAATAAAAACCAAAATTTATGGCTTCATTTTTTTCCTCCATCGTCTCTTCTATTTCTTTAACAGAATCAAACCTAATCATATAAGAAGTCGTTGCTACTCCCCATTTCACAATTCTAACTTTGATACCATCAATCAGGAAAGTCTTTTGGATTGAATCCATATCAAATGAACTTTTCATAAATTCGACCATCCAAATTTTCATCCAGTCATTATCAAAAGACGTAAACTCGATGTCAACAAGATCCTTATAATTTGTATCTTGGATTATTGATGCAGGAAGATCAATGAGATTGACCTTTTCTCCCCCATTGTTAAAGTTATTGGTTAAAACATCTTTGTACAACATTTTCATTACAGCTACTAACCTATCGCCACCTAAGCTATTCTTGGTCACCCTTACTGAACTTACCTTTTACTTGGGAGGGAAGCCAACTCCTTTTCCTTTTCCTTTGTCGTTGGTAGGTCTGGGATACTTAACTTTTGAAACGCTAATCTGTCTACCATCAATGAGCGAATTATCCATATTTTTAACCACTCTATCCATATCCTCTCGTCTTTCCAGTGATACAAAAACGAAAGTTTAATCCCTATACCTTGGTCTCTTGTTCTCCATCGGAATGAACACGCAAACTACTCTCTTATGGTGGCAACACAGTTCCTTCAACGCCGATCTAGAAACACGTCTACTGAGGTTATCGATGAATACAATCCAATCGCCTTCTTTCGCCGCTTCTCTGGGACTAACATTTGTGATTGTCTTCTTTGCTCCCAGTATTCCAAACGTCATTTTAGGGTTCGACCCCTCCGTAGCTACATCATTTACTCCCAAGCTATCAACGGCCACGGCACTGGAGGATGTTGCAGTCGACGGTGACACCCCCGAAGCTCTCACCGTCACTTTATTATTTGCTTCAATCGTCGCTTCCATTTTTTTTTTACTGAAATTATAATTAAAAACTCAAATCTTGGTATCCATTCTTTATTTTTCCTTCTTTTGAAAGTAATATTAAATGTTTTAAATATTTTATATATATATATATATATATATATATATATATATATATATATATATATATATATATGTATATGTATATATATTTAATCAAAATACAAGTGCCAAACACGGCATTACTCTTTTTCACATGTAATATTTAGATGCAAAACAATAAAAAGTTTCATTAATACTTAAATAAAACCTTTTATTTATTTGTTATTGTTGTAGTGAGAAAATTGTAGTATGATATTAGTTGATAGTGGTATGAGCTGTGAAAGAAAGGGAAGTTGTAAGAATCATGCCCCCATGTGAAGTGTTTGCAAGAGCCCCCAGTTTATTTGCTTTGTCCCTAAATCACTCACATGGAGGGGAATGTGACCTTTATTCTTTTTTGTTTATATTTCCCCTCAAATTTCTTTATAGGCACCTTCTATCATCTCTTGTGTTTTAATCCTATTAAGATAATATTTTTTGAGAGGTCTATTAAAGTCAGTTAAATTTTTTAACAATAAAATATTATATTTTCGAAATAATTATATTATGGAGAGATAATTCTAAACATTCTAACCAAAATATCTCACCAATATTATTATATAACAAAAGACCAAGAACTGGGATCATAGCTTTTAAAATAATCACGTAATATAAAAAAGTTGGTATTCCCTGAGCATGTGCAAACCATGATTAATAAACATAAATAGTAGAAATGCTGTATTTTTATTTTAAAAAATAATTAATGTAATCATTTTAAATTCAATTAATACATTCAATTAATGTTGGTCTGGATTTTGTGTATATATCTATAGTTACTATTGTTTAAAAGTAAGATTGAATTGATAATTACTTTATAATTATTTTTTTATAATTAATATTATTTTAAAATTAGAAGGATGTATATCTGAAGGGTTAATTATTTGTCCAAAGGAAAAAGTGTTTGTAGTATTTTTATTTTGACGAGTTCACTTTTAAATCCTATCCCTATATTTGGAAGTGTGATTAGCCAAGGAAGCCGCCTGGATTGGACTTACAGACTCGAGAGAATGAATGAACTTTTCCATGATTTTGACATTCTCATCAGCATTGTACTTGACAATGGATTCTAGGCTTTTGGCTTCGCTGAGATCGTGATATATTTAAAATATCATTATGATATAATAGACATTACATGCATTACTAAATTTAAAGTAGATTCCTCGATGATTAAGATAACCATTTGAATCAATTATCAAATTAACTACATTTTATCATTTCGATGGTTTAAACTCGAACTTTAGAGCGGTTTCAATAATTAAATAAAATTTGTTCTTTCTTGGTGATTCGATTTGAACTGGAGATGGACATGGGTCGAGTCGGATTTTCGGTACACTCTACTCTTTTCAAAAATTATAAATCCTCCATACGATCTGAAAATATATAGATTTCACCCGACTCGGATCTAACCCAATTTTTTGAGATAAAATCTGAACTTGATTAAACCCAAAATAATATATTTTTAAAAAATTATTTTTATTTAATAAAAATAGAGATTTGATTAAAAGAAAATAATATATAGAGGGGTATTATTGCAATTCTCCCTAAATATATAAGGTAAAACTATATTTTTTTTTGGGTCGAGTTGGATCGAATATTTTTCACCCCTAAACCCAAACCCGAACCCGAACATAACATTTAAAAAACTCGACCCAAACTCAATGTTTTTTTAAAAAATATCAACTTGATTAGGTCATATTGGATCGGATCAAAACCTGTCGGGTTTAGATCTCATACTCATCCCTAATTTGGACAATATAATTTACACGCGTGAATGAGTTTAGATCTAATTTTTTTAATAAAAAAATATTCATTCTAATTTCAAATGTGATAATTGTGCATGATATATCTAGATTATATGTTTAAAATCCATCTTTAAATTTTTAAAATATTTATATAACAATATTCAAACTATGACTTTTATTTTAAATATTAAAACATTCTATATTCACACTCAAACTATTGATATTATTATATTTTGGTAATATCATTAACATTAATTCTATTTGGTAAAAAATTTAGTTTGTTTAGTAAGAATTGAACTTTCGACCTTCTAAAAATTTTCTTAAGATATTTAAAAACAAATTATTTCTAAAAATTCACGGTTCAACTTTTAAAACATTTAAAAATCAATAGAGTTAACATCGCATTAATAAAATAATTAAAATAAATGGAACCAATAATTTAAAAATAATATATTATATTTTTAAAATTTAAAAACTAATTTGAAATTAAAAAAAGTGATATAAACCGTTATAAAAGTTGAGGACCAACTTAAAATAGAATAAAAACGAGACGACATGGTGCAATTAACAGAAAAGAAGTTTCCTTTGAGATCAGAAACTGGGCCCACACTGAATCCAAATTTCTGACCCGACCGGATCTTTACGCTTAGATCCCATTAAACCCATTTGTGATTTCTCTATTTTCTTTTCTCAATTTCAGAAAGATTTCTCACACCAACGACATTGCCACCCATCTCTGCTTTTTATTAGAATTACCTTACCTCCCCAAAAATAAACCTATCATTTTTATGCAAATTCCATAAAACAACCCGGCCACCCGAAATGGCGGTGTATAGAGCGGATGAAGACTACGATTATTTGTTCAAGGTGGTGTTGATCGGAGATTCTGGTGTTGGGAAATCGAATTTGTTGTCCAGATTTACAAGGAACGAGTTTAGCCTTGAATCCAAATCTACAATCGGAGTCGAATTCGCCACCCGAAGCATTCGAGTCGATGATAAGGTCGTTAAGGCACAGATTTGGGATACCGCCGGACAAGAAAGGTACATTTTTTTTATTAAAAACAAACGTGTTTTATCTTTTCTTTTATCATTGTTCTTGTTTCAGATTTTTTGAGAGCTTTGAGGAAAGTGACGTCTTTCTAGCTGTTGCTGTATTGGATTGGTAGAACTGGTATTAGAAATTTGAACCTATGGGGCTGTTCTGTAGCTGAGGAAATATATGTAGATTAGAAATTTGAATTTATTGGTTTATTGATTTTAGCATATTCAAAAGACAAATTTCTTCGTTAGCATTAACTCTATTCGGTTTATTTTAGAAAATTAGTATTTGTTAGGTTATAATATACAAAGTCTCACTGTAGGCTTTACTGGTGGATGAGCCACGAAGAATTTTGCATCTTGGTTTAGTTGATAAATGTTACAACTTTTTCCATTAATGGATAGGTCGGATACTTTTCTTATAACTCCTTGTTGGATCATCAACTGAATCTGTAAGCATCTTTAGAATATAGATTTACTGAAAAAGATAGCATTTATCCGGATCGTCGTATTATTCGTCATCCATCTTAGGAGGATATGTTTTTTTTGTATGAAGAAGATTACAGCCCAAGAATCAAAGAAACCGGACCATAGGTTTGTTGAAAGCCATCTCTTAAGGGTGGGTGGCTGCATGAGTCAACTGGGTTAAACCCTGGGTTCAAGAGACTGTTATTAGTTGTAGTAGTTAACCCTTTTCTAGTTTTGAAGTTATTCACGTTATTTTGAAATTTAGGACAACTTTATAGTGTCTGTTTCAGTTCTGATGAATGACTTATGATCCATAAACGATGGAGCTTGGACTTGAATGAAATGCATCCTTACATGCCTTCAGAGCGCATGTTTTTCATTCTATTCTGTCTATGATGCATGAGGGAGAAGGCTTCTGTTGCTTACTCGGATGCTTTCCAATTGAGTTTTCTAGGTGCACAGATACTATTCACAGTGGTGTTTCTCTGGGGAAAGGACACCGGAGTGAATTTCCATAATATCATATGTTTCAGCAATTGAAAATTTAATCGTAACAGCTTCAGATTTACTTCATTTTTCATATTGGCAGACCTGATGCTTTTCAATTAAAATATAAACCGTGTTGAGAACATGTAGGTCATAAAATGGAATTTCTGTGTTGTTTCTCCATAAATTGAAATCTCTTGGGTCCTGAACGTTTAATAGGCTGTGCAAGTTTTTATTATATAATTTTTAGTGAACCACTGAAGCAGAACATACAAGAGCATACTACCATGGAGCTGTATTCTAAGCTTTTTCGAGAGTTGATGTCTGTTATTTTCTTTTCAAAGGTACCGGGCAATTACAAGTGCATACTACCGTGGAGCTGTTGGTGCATTACTCGTCTATGATGTCACTCGACATGTCACATTTGAGAATGTTGAGAGATGGTTGAAGGAACTACGAGGTCACACGGATGCCAACATCGTCATTATGCTTGTTGGTAACAAGGCGGACCTGCGACACTTGCGTGCTGTTACCACTGATGATGCTGAGGCCTTTGCCGAGAGAGAAAATACCTTCTTCGTGGAGACATCTGCCCTCGAGTCTACAAATGTTGAGAGTGCGTTCACTGATGTACTTAAGAAAATATATCGTGTCGCCAGTCGAAAAGCACTTGAAAGAGGGGATGATCCTGCAACATTGCCAAAGGGACAGTCCATCAATGTTGGAGGCAAGGATGATGTTTCAGCTGTAAAAAATGCCGGCTGCTGTTCTACTTGAATGTTATATGATGTATCCTCCATTTTTCATCTCTTTAAGCACAAGATTTGAGATTGAAATCAAAAGAGAACAAATCAGCTTCCAAATTTCCCTTCATTGGTCCCTTTAAATTTATTTGAAGTGAATGCTATAAATATTATACAAATTGGAATGTTATTTACATACTAGGTCATGCATGCATAATGGAATGAATTTGTATATACACTATACAAAGATTTCGAAAAGTATTTTATAAAATATGAAGGTTAAAGATATTGGGTGGAAATGTAACACATTGAACAAAATATTATAGAAAAGTTAAAGAGAGTTGGGAGAAGCACATCATATCATAAGTTAACGTTACAGCATGAAACTGCATAATGTGAGTCTGTACAATTGTTTGATAACTACAAAGCCAACAAATATGGATTGACTGTCTGTTAGATATCTGCAAGTTCATGTACAAAATACTTGACCAAATATCAATCTAGAAACATCTAGTAGAGCTTTCCCAGATTTTGATTTTATCAACATCAATCACTTTATGTAGTTTATTACTTTTCCTTGATTGTGTCACGTCCATTATACATTCTTGGACCCCGTGGTTAACGCCTCGGATTTGCAGATGGGGCATACGTTCTTCACTAACAGCCACTTCTTCAAGCAATCTGCATGATAGTTGTGTCCACAATTGAGAGTTCCGATTTTCTCTTCGATCTTGTAATCCTCCTGCAAAAAAGTTGAAGGAAAATAACATATACAATTCATCCAATGAAGATGTCTGCTTCAAACTTGAACAAAGAAAGAGATGTGGAGAGTTCAAGCTTGTAGATAAAGAATAATGCTAGCTCTAAGCACTCTTCATTACCTGGCAAATAATGCAAGAATCAGGTTCCTGGTCGATGGGTGCTGCTTCTTCCAGATTAATATTTGTAGCAAATGTTGAATAAGTTCTTGTTTTCAATTTACTTGTAATGATTTCCTCGGACAAACCAGTATTCACGTTCCCAATCCGCTCGCCCAGAGCCAACAGTTCCTGTGATCATTTGGAGAATTTCTCAATGATCAGTCGGTAAAAATAAAGTTAAACCACAAATCAGAACATAATATATGAACTTACCTCATAAGACATGTCTTCTATATCCAAGCGCATATCTCTGTGATGATCGACAAAGTTTCCTACTTCATAATATTCTGGGAGCTCCAGTACAGCAACTCCCTGCACCAAATCAATTAAAAGATATCACCATATCTACAAACAGAAATTTAACAAAAAAAAAAAAAAACAGTTGCATATGTATTTCATTTTCCTGATTTCAGGAAAGAAAATGGAGCAACAAACAGAAAATTAACAGATATATAACATTGCAGAAATGATTTTTACTAACATCTGGTGGAAGAACTCTCAAGTGAGGAAGATTGCGGTGTCTCACAGATGTCTCAGCTACAATACCATTCTCTCGGCGAGAATGATATATCCTAAAGCCGGTAGGAGGCATTGGTCCCAAATGCCTACGCCCCACCTCCCAACCATAATGTGAAGGATTCATGGCACCTGGTGAAGCGTAACTTGCAGGGAAGCAATGAGGAACTGCTGCTACTTGTGGATGAATGTTAATGTTGTGACCTCTTACTCCTTCAATAGGCGGTGCAGGGTGATGGAAGTTATGGTTCCGAACATCAAGGGGAGAAGATTGAGAAAAGTTTGCGGAACTTCTAAGACTAGTCTCCATAGTTGCAGCCACATTGCTACCTGCACAAACATAAGACAGTGAAGAGTCCACAGCAATCAATTTCACGGCAAAACAGATTCCTCCATCAACTCATTTACATGGAAGCTGTTTTCAGTAAAAGAAATATATCTTTAAAAAGCAACTTATTTTAAAATTGAAATTCCTTAAACAATCTAGGAAAGAACAGAGGAATGCAGAAACTACCATGTATATGAGGAACCCCAGGAACCTGAGTCCAAGCTGGGGCACCTCCATCTGTTATTGTTGGCTGAAAAGGTTGACCGATGTAATTTCCTTGGAAAACATGGTTAACACTATGCATCAAAACAGGATCCACAGCAGTTGCCCCTAGTCTGTTCCTAACACTTCTTTGGGATCCAGGTTCTCTAATTGGTGGAGGGCCATTCCCCCTATACTGAGGAAAGGTGAAGGTTGCTACATCCATTGTGCTAACTCCATCAGGATGTCTAGCATTTAATGGTGTACCTGCGGAACTAGAGCTTGAGGAAGCATTAAAATGCTGAAAATTTCCCAGGATTCCTTCAGAATTCTTTCTCTTATATGAGCCTCTAACATTATCCATGAAGTGGCAACCCCTAGCATATTCATCTGCTGAAACTCCTAGCAGGCAATAGTTGCTCGAAGATGGCATCTGGTCTGTGTGTGCATGATTTACAGGAGTACTTGACGAAGGGTTAGCCACATAGGGAATGTAATAGTTGGACGCACTTCCAATACCAAGATCAAGATTAGGGGAATGATTATGATGCTGAACACCGGGATACTGCGGAATCCCATAGAACATACCATTGTCATAATGCTCCGATAAGGGATGAGTATCAAGAGTGGTTGTTCTCCCTGAAGCTGTGACTCTCATCCGCATATCAGGTGGAGGATAATTAGGTCTTCCACCCAAAAAGATGCAGGGCTCCTGATGGGGATATCCCTGGTCTTGCTGATCCATTTCTAAATCTATCATCTGGCTAGGGCATAGCATATTTCTTTGACCCATGGTGTTCCAAATTCCAATAAAATATTGCTACAAACCATCACTGGTTCGAAGTCTGAAAAAAAAATTTAGCATACTCAACCTAAATCCTAAAAACAATGAAATGAGACTTTAGCGCATACTCAACGTAGATCCAAAAACAATGAAATGAAACTTTAGCACATACTCAACCTAAATCCGAAACAATGAAATGCAACTTTAGCGCATACTAGACCTAATCCAAATCCAGACAAGCATCTTCTTTATCCATCTAAAAAGATGAAACACGTGACATGCAAAATATTACTTGTTCATCAAACTTTCTCATCTATTTATTTGGAGTTTATAATACGCTCGTGTTTCACTAGAAACATAAAATTTAGAACAAGTTCAACCTAAATCAAAAAACAGGACAAGTATCTTCTTTACCCATCTTAATAGCTGAGATACATGACATGCAAAGTATTACTTGCTTATCAAACTCTCTCATCTGTTTGTATGGAATTTATAATACGCATCAATTTCACTAGAAACATAAATCATTTCCTTCTACAAATGGAAAAGAAGCAAACATACAAAGAACATTTAACAAACGCACTTTTTAAATTGCAGCACTGGCAAATCAAAAAAAAAAAAAAACTTGACATAGTATCCAGGACCAATGCAGGGATCCTAAAAAGTATACTAATCATTGTGCTGTAATATAACCATCCTAAAATGGATTGCCAAGATGAAGAACAAATTTTTCCATTACTAAAATGGAGCTCAAATAGATTAAGTTCTGTAGAAGCAAGCATATCCTTAAAACAAAAGCCCTTGTGATTTTTGACATATCTACCCAATTCTGAAAAATTCAACATACAAATCATCCCATAGATACTTCCTCACATCAACAAACACACACACACACACACACACATATATATATATATATAACCTTAAATTTTCCCCTAAAAGAATAGGAAGAAAATATTAACTATCAAATTAGGCAATTAAAATAGCAACCTAAAATCAAAAGCTTTCAATCAACAGAATCACATGTATCAAACTCTAGAGTGGAGAAATTTCCAGTATTTTACCTTCTTGTATAACTAAATTAAAGTTGTTGATAAGATGATATCATAACTATCTATTAATCTTCTAAAAATATATTTCAACTTTTTTATCGTAATATTTCCAATCCTAAAGAGCATCCCACAAGTTATCCGGCCAAGCTCCTTCTTTGGTTATAACTTCGAATAAACCCAAAGCAGGATTTAAAAAAAAATCTAATTTCACATAAACTTGTGGAATTGTTAAATGCGCATTATTTATCGAGCAATTAAAAATCAAAATTTTTTAACAACATGCAAATTCAAATTAAACAGAACAAGGAAAAAAAAGATGGTTTTTTCTTTCTTTCTTTGCCGTACCTTACAATCATATGAGCAAAATCACAGCCCAGAAACAGAAAATTCTGGATCAAAATCAAAAACCCAAATCAAACATAAAAAAAAAAAACTTTCGTTACTTTTTCGTGCATTAATCAAAATTAACGCAATGTAAAAAAATCTTGGAGAAGCAATAAATAAAAAACTAACCGTATAGAAGCGAAATTAAGAAAGAAATAGAAGGAGAGATTGAGAGATCTGAGAAAATATTGTTAAGCACAAAACATAAAAAAAGAGAAAATATTTAAAAGACAGAGAAATGAGAGGAAGCGCCAGCGGGGACAAGATGACGATGACATCTCTACTTTTATCAACAGGCTCCTTTCTTTCTTTTTCCTTTTCATTTAATTTTAGATAAATTATTGTCGAGTTTAACTAAAATATAAATTGGGAATATAAAATAAAAACAAAACAATAATTTGTTTAATAATATAAGATAACTTTTATTCATAATCCTTCGTAATTATTAATAATATATTTATAGATGAAATTATTCAAACTCAATATTTCTAAAATTAATATTATTCTCTCTAACTATTAAAGTTACTTGAATTCAAATTTCAAAATGATGAAGTCTTAAATTTAATTTAAGTATAATATCTATAACATATCTAAATCATAATTCACTAGTATACACGTCGTATTAGATTAAAGATTCAATGAATGACATGTCTAATTTATTATAAAAATTTGTAAATATTTTTATATAATTTTTAATGGTAATTCTATTAAATTGTGTAATTATATTATTTTAATTAAATATAATTTAAGTATTATGTTTTCTTTAATTATTGTATGATTTATAAACACAAATAATTTTTTAGTGTCGTGCAAGTTAAACATATCAAATTATATTACAAAGAGTTTTTTTTAAAGATTTTATACTTTAAGACATTTTTATTAATTTTTTTAAGACTACTTCTATGGCAAGAAAATACACAAAGCTAATATCTAAACACAATTGCTGATAACTTTAAAAAATTCAATTTAAAAGAATTTGATATTTTTATTTTAAATAAATTAAAAGTTAATGATTATTTATATTATTAGTATTATAAAACTTTTTATTAAATTATTATTATAAATTAATCAAATGTCAATATAATTAAAGAAAATTAAAGTACTATTTTTTCAAATAATAGATAAAAATACTTTTATTATTTATATATTTATTAAATAAAAAAATAAAGATATTATCAACAATTAATTGATTTAGTAAGATGAGATATTAGATCCCTTAAACAAAATCAGGGGTTTGAATCCTAACAATTATGAATGGAGCATACTGGATTGGGAGACCTCTAGAGTACCCGATCCGGATTAGTCGATCAATAAATTAGATACATGTGGTTATACCAGAAATTAAAGTTATTATTTAAGATATAATATATGATTGGAAAAAAAAAGAAATTAATGAATTTATATACAGATTCTTTAGTAGTCTGTCTATGATTATTTTGTTAAATATTGAATTATTCTGCTGGTTTTTGTCTGATTTTGAAGGGGCTACATCATTGCCATCGTCTTCATCTTCCTCTAATATGTTTATTCTACTTCATATATTCCTTTCTTTTCCTTTAACAAATACTCAAATTATTTTAATAATCGATTACAAAACAATATTTGCTTAAATCATTTTTAATAATTAATAAAACACAAAAAACATAGACATAACTGTTCAAATTCAAGATTTTCATATAGAACATCACTTTCCTTAACAATTTAGGTCACTTTAATATGTTGTATTTGATCTTTTTTAAGTTTGGCAAGTAATTATGTAGAGACTGAATTAAAAATTTATTACATTAAAACATTTTTATTTTATATAAATATAATTTTTTTAATAAGGGGAATCTAATAATTTTTTTAAAAAATATATTTTTTCTATATTAATTAATAATTAAATATATAATTAACGAGGCAAGGCTCCCCTTGCCCACGCCCTTGGAATTAAGGAACAATCAATATTATCCCTTTGGAAACTAACATTTCATTCATCACTTAAATAATTTTGAATGTTGTTATGAACTATGGTTACTCATTTGCTACGAATTCCTTCTCGTAATATCATTGTTATTATTTTTTATCTACGAAGAAGGAAAAAATAATTTTACTCTCAATAAATATTGAATTCACAACCTAAACGAGAGGAAATATGTTAACTAAGAACTTTTAACCACCTATTGTTAACAATTCCAACAGTACTATTTGATTTTATTATTGAATTTAACTTTGCTGCATGAATCCCAATCATTTGTTTTAATTCGATTTTCAGTTCAAATATTCTATTCACAACTTGAGAAAAATTACAAAATTCAAGATAAACTGAAATCGATTTTTCATTTAATTTTATATGAGTGAAAACACTTCTAAAAACCATTTTAAAATTTGATAACCAAAATGATTTGAATCGGTAGTAAGCATCTCGTTATTATTATTATTAAAAACTAAACCAACCGCCCCAAGAAACCTCATGGATGAGTGGAGCTTTAAGATACTTCTTCGCAAACCCTTTCTTTCTTTCTTTACGTACACACATACAAACATGCACGTAAGCTTTACCTGTACTCGAATTCAGCATGTTTGTCAATCAAGTTTCTTTTTTCATTCCATTCCGAAACTTTTGCCTAATCAAGATTTAGCCTAACTCGGCCACAAAACCTAGATCCTCTGTTTTGAAAACCGGATCGATCGATTCAACCGGGAACCGTTGTCTAGTCCGATTCAATCTAAACCGATTGAACCGCTACTAGTGAACCGACCAGAATTGCTGAACCGTTCGAACCGGACCGGCTGAAAACCGAAAAAAACCGAAAATTTTGTTTTTTTTAAAAAAAATTAAACCAAACGTCGTTTGTTAAACGAGCCAAGTCGAACTCGAGTATTGCTGAGCTCGACTCGAACTTGAAAACTTTAAAAGTAAGCTCAACTCCACTCAAACTCACAAGTTAAAAATTATCAAGTTCAACTCGAACTCGAAATATAATATTGAAACTTGAACTCAAAAAGGCTTGAACTAAAAAAAAATTAGAAACTCAATTGAAGCCTAAAATTCGAGCTTGATTGAAGTGAAAAAATAATTCACTTAATGCTCACTAAAAGGCTCCATGATTTTGAATGCCAAATTACCTCTATTATTTATAGAAGTTAGTTGTGATGCTCTTCTATGTTTCTTAGCAATATAAGATTGTTTTGTTCTCATATTTTTACTATTTAGACTTTTGGGATGCTCTTCTATGTTTTTTAGCCATATGGGATTGTTTAAAAAAAAATTAAACCAAACAATATCATTTTGTTATGATTTTTTTAGCTCCAAATTTATTTTTTAATTATAGTTATATAATTATATTTATTATTTAATATGTTTTACCTTAAATATTATGTTGTAGTTAATTTGAATCATTTTTTTCACTTGATTTTATGGTTTTTAATTTATATATGTTATGACTTGCTTTGAATATGACTTGTGATATAAAAAATTATTTTTTATTAAATATTTTTGGTATTTTTATTTAATTTGTTAAATAATTATGACATCGTCCGGTTCTTCCGACCGGTCGGACCGGTTCGATCGGTTGAACCAGTGAACCGGTAGCATGGCCGGTTCGCTAACCGGTCCGGTTCTGAAAACCATGCCTAGATCCAAACTTTACCTACTATAACCTTATTTGAATCCCCAAACTACCAACACCAAACCCTAGCCACTAGTAATCTCAGTGTGAGTTTTGTACAATGGGGTGAACAAGAACTACTCTAGCCCACGAGCCATGATAGAATAGCTAATCCCTACTCAGCCAATCACTGAGGTGACTATGCCACCGACCGACATCTATGCAAAGAAACACAAATAAAGGGCTTGCTAAAACTGGTTAGAAAGATATTTGATAGTTTGAATCGGCCAGCATGTGTTCTAAGCTCAGCGTAACAGAGTATCCTCACTAAGAAACATGAACAATCAGCATGCAGTTTGAGAAGATCCAAAAGCAGATAAGAAGTTGAAATCAAGTTTAGGAAATTTATAGTGTCTATAAGTTTGTATTTTTCTTTTAATGGGATAAAATTTTTAGTATAAAGAGAGCTGATGCTAAACCGATCATAATCATTATGTTTCCTAAACCTATTTATTTGCGGGCTTCAACTTTCTTTTGTTCTTTTGCTGCAAGAACAAATAGAATTAAAATCAGCTTCAATAGAAATTGCAAATATGTATAGGACATGGGTGTTTGGCACCAATACTTAACTAACCAGTAAAGAAACTTGAAATAGAGGTGCAAAAGCGATGCAATATAATACAAAACCATACCAGCCCTCTCTTCTTCTCTCTTCTTAGCAGCCTCTGCCCTTTATTGCCTAATCATGGCTAAGCGCTCTGCGATAGTAATTAATTCAATTTCAATAAAACAATCAAATAAAATAATGTAAACAGCCAATGGAGAAACATGATACCAACGAACTCATACAGAATAGAAGAAACCAGATCAGCTGTATCAAGATTAATCTAACAAACTCGTATGGAATAGAAGAAACCAACTCAGTTGTATTCATACATAAAAACCAACATTCTTCTCAATACCTCCATTCCACAAAAGACTTAAATGGCAAGAAAAATAAAAGCAGTTCTGACACCTAACAGACAAGGTACTTTCCATCTTCAATTACTTTATTTGATGCAATTTTCCATCATCATTAAAGAATATAATAGTCTACATCAGAATAAAACACTCATGGCAGAGAAACCAGTTCAAACAGAAAAGAAAGTGGGAAAAGATCCTATATGTGTACAACCTCGTAGACAAACCTCACATTTCACATGAATTCTCTCCTCTTCAATTAAATAACAGTCTTTCGTCAACTCCTGAATGCACCTCTGTAACCATTTAGGTACATGGACAATGATCTTCAACCAATGTTTACAAAAATCACATCATCATTTGCATCACTTAATGGAGGATTATTTTACACTCGTCATGCATTATCACTCACTATAGTGACTCAAAAAGGAGATGAGTTAATATCATTATTTTCATCTCCCTTCTTTAGCACCATGTCAATGAACATAATTTCAACCTTAGCAATACATCTTCAATTATTCCCAGACAACCAAAAAAGTCTCATGGAGAGGTTAGAAAAAGCCATGTTCAATTGAATTATAATGATATTTGACAGGGCTATCGGAAGTCCTTGGAAACTTAATAAACACTCAATTTAGTTTTCAGTACAGTATAAATTTGATTAAGGGAGATAAGTACTGTGAATCATGTAGTTGTCCACTGGTTACCTAAATCTTTTCTTGATTGCTCAGTTTTCCCTTGTTCCTGCAGCTTCATATACAGTTCATGTGCTTTTTGATTTTCTATCCCCTCTCTGCAGTAAAAATAGATAAGCACACAGTCTTAGCTAATCTAAAGGAAATAAACAGTTCAAATATAGGATTACATTTTTTAGTATATCATTCACCATTGCTAACAATTTTTTCATGATAAGTAGGAGATATAGCTTCAAAAGATGGATATTCATGAGCAAGAGCAAAATAATTTGAAGCACAAGGACAACATTTTCAATGAAATTAATAAAAAGGTTTGTATCTCATTACATGCCAAAATGACAAGGCAAAGCATTTTATCATACCCTGACCATTTCCAATTAGTACTGTCTATAAATATTTTGTCTCAAAGGATGTTAAGATTTGAGTTAAACATAATGAGATAGGCATCCACAGCAAAAAGGTAACAAGGAACTCTAAGGAAAGCCTAGAGTAGCGTTGATTATTTAGTTAAAAAGCTGAGGTTATGGTCTCTGATTAAATACATCAAGACACTTTTACACTGTTGATGTTATAATTCAGTAAGTTTATATAGAAACTATAGTCTGTAGTTAAAGGTGTATGGTACATAATTTCAACTTTAAGCAACAAATATCTATCCTCACAGTTGGTAGAGATACCGAGAAGGATTTAGGCATGTAGCATATCTACAATGGAATTTCGTTAGTAGTAGTTCTTTCTCTTGCCAAGAAAGAATCAAATTCAAATATTCAATGCCCTAAGCTTATCACCTTTTCACCCTCAATGTTACCAGAAAAACTCAACTAAACAATACACTCCTTGAATTAATTCTAGATTGGACAAAGATGAAAGTGTTACAATGCTTCATCAGATTAAAACTGGAACAACAAAGAGAAATGTTAACTATAAATGAACATGAGAATATATATTTTGCAAGGCATAACAGATAAGCTAACACTTAAGAAAATGTTGTTTGGTTAAAACCGGTAAAATTATTAAGTAATAAAAATGGCCGAGATGCAAATGATAAAGCATTGATCAGTCAGATTTGAGGAACAAAGAGAATTACAAACCTTTCAAGCCTTGATAGTTCAGTAGCTTTCCCCATCTGGAAGATAAAATCTCAATACTCAATTCAGTTACAAGCCACACATCAGTTTATAAGAGTAATATAGACTTAATGCAGCAGAGTACTCATACAACTTACATCAATATCTTTAGCTTTGACATTCTTTGATTTACCTAAATTTGGATTCTCAATCTGAATAAGCCCTTGGGCCCCTTTCCGTTTCTGCCAATAATAACACCAATAACATGAAGAATAAAAGGTACTTAATGCAAATGGAACTAATATCATTATCATTAGATGAAAGAAGTGCACAAAATAATTACCTCAGGCTCTTCTTCTATTTCCTCTTCAGACTCTTCTTGTTCTACTTCTTCCTCCACTTCAGCTTCTTCCTAGAATGAAAGATGTCATCTTATTTAACAAGTGAATTAAAATACAAAAAAAGAAAGCAATCACATTCATAAGGGAAGAGAGAAAGAACCATAGCAAAGCAGATATTTACTAAATAAAATAAATTTTCCATTTGAACACTCGAGAGAACTGATTTTGAAGAATAAAAAAGAAGGTGGGGGACATCAACAAACTTAACTGATACTCGATTGCAATCAAACATTATGCATTCTTTTCTATATGCCAAATTCAAAATCTCTAACCAATACAAAATGTAAAATAGACGTCTTAACAGTTAACACATAGATTCCAATTCTAGACTTTCTCTTACAGTAAAATCTAAATGATGATGTAAGAACCTGATTTAAAACAACCCAAACAACCAAAATCCATGAAATTTACAGCATTCAAGTTGTCGTTCATCCTACATGCGAAAATAGAAGGCACATAACTTGCCAAATTCAAAGAAGCGTCAACTTTGGGTTGTCAAAAGTAATGTAAGAAGTATTACCTTCTTCACAGGAACCGATATCAAGATTAAAAATCTCTTTTCAAGCAATATATAGCAAAAATACATGATAACAACGAATAAGTTACCAACATACCATAAAATATTAATGATCAAAAGCTAATTCCACCAAACAAATAATTCCTCAAATTTTACAACCATGAGCAAATAGATTATGTTAAAATCTAGCATAAAAATCTGACCTTCCTAAAAGTACGGGGCCTAGCTGATCTACCAGTACCTACCATTAAAACACTAAAAGAAAAACACAGTAAGATCAATAATAAAACTTACAAAAAAAAATTACCAAAAAATTAGAACATATTTAGTATTTTTGCCTCTAAACACAGCTCTCTATTTTCTCTATGTAGCATCTAAATTTCACACAGAAAACGGATTATATTAAAAAAATATACGCTAGAGCTACTGATGCGGCAGTTGAAAGATTGATATAGATCTTATACTAGAAAAGTGCATACAAATACTTGGAATGACATGCATGCCAATTGAAAAAAAAAACAAGATAAATGCGTAGAAATTGAAAAGAGAGAGAATGTTAATACGGAGTTCTTCCGGAGTTGAGAAATGGCGGTGGCCGGTGGGTTTGCCCTTGAATTTTCCTCTTCCCATTTTTTTTCTTTTTCCCGTGTTTCTGATTGCAAACAGAAAAGAAAAGGAGCTGAAGGAGTGTGTCCGCAACTGACAGGGGATTTTTTTTTATTTATATTGTAATTTTGGAAGGAATATTATTTTATATTATAATTACATTTAAATCATTTTATAAGTTTTGATGCCTTTACTTTTTAATTTGAATACAAATTTTGTTTAGAATTTTTTTAAAAAAAATATGAAATTTTAAACACAAATTACTATTTAATAAAATATTAATTAATTTATAATACTAATTCAATATATTTAACTTATATTGTATTTTTTACGTATAAATTTTAATCATTTGATAAAATATGGTATACAGTATTTTTTTAAAAATGTAGATTTAGATTGAAATACTGTTAATTAAAGATATTATAAAATATATGTTTATTGATTATTGAAATATTATTTTAAATAATAATATAAGTTGTGGAATTATTTCCAGCATGATTTCATCTGCAAAACTTTCGAGATAATGTTCTGGAAAAAATTAATTTACGAGATAAAGCACTCCCAATATTAATTGCTCAAATAAGGTGAAATCCACAGTGTTGGATGTAGGTCGTTATGCCTTCCGGGCGACCTACTAGGTCGCCATGTCTTCCCGGCGAGCTACAAGAGATTGCATGTGCCATGCACGTCCCAACACACTGGGCATCCGAGGTCATCCGACCGAGGCCATCCGAGAGCATCCGAGGCCATCCGAGGCCATCCGACCGAGGCCATCCGACCGAGCTATGCGAGGTCATCCGATGGCAATCGAGCGAGCTATGCGAGGGAATGGCGACCTATGTGTTGGGACGTGCATGTGCCATGCAACACGTTCATTCTCTCTGTTTGAGCAAGGGTAGGTCGCCCGGAGTGCATGGCGACCTACAAGGTCGCCCGGAGTGCATGGCGACCTACGGCCAACACTGTGAATTTCACCATATTTGAGCAATTAATCTTGGGAGTGCATTAGCTCGTGAATTAATTTCTTTCAGAACATTATCTCGAAAGTTTTGCAGATTTCATCGAAATTAGATTAGAAAAATAGATTCATGTAAAATTTTACTATTATAAAAATTCTCTTAATGGTTAGTTTGGTTAACAGAATGTAAGATTATTAGTGAGAATGTAAAATTACCAAGGAATATGATTACTGAGAATGTTGTATTTTGTGTTTGGTTGGCTTAGCAGGAATGTAAGATTTTCGTATTTGGTTAAAGGAATAAAAGATTATTAGAATGTATATTTGACCAAATTGTCCTTATTATATATTTGTTTTTTTAACAAGTTGAAAAATATTTATATATTTTCTTTAAAAAATTTGAATTCATAAAATTTATATACTTTTTTACAAAATGTAAAATATAAAAATATTTAATGAAAGGGTAAAAATTTTATTTTAACCCCTGAATTTCATATAAAATTTTAATAATAGACTTTTTTGTAAATCTAAAATAATTTAAGGATAAATTTGTAATTTAACCTTCTTAGAATTTTTATTATTCAATTACAGAAGAAGTATATTTTTGAAAAAAATTAAGGACATTTTAGTCCAAAACGTCGGTAATCTAACAATACCTAAGGAAAGGGAGGTAATGACATTCCCGGTAATATACCCCAAAAAATTCACTATTAATAATCTTACATTACCAAAAATGAGATTCCCGGACTAACCAAACGGGAGAATGTGAATTTCATTCCCATAAAAATCCCACATTCTCCCATCCAAACACCCACTAAATATTTTTCCCTAAAATTTGTTATGAGCTCAAATTTAAATAAATAAATAAGGCATAACCCCTTCTTTTTATGTCTTAAACCCGGGACATTAAGTTCTAAAACGACGTCGAATTTTATATACTGAAGCGTAGTTAGGTTACTTCAATTCCTTCACGTCCCTGAATTTGACTAAAGCCTAGAGCAGCAGCAGCAGCAGCAGCAGATGAGCAGTGAAGCGAAGAAAAATCCAAAGCACTTTCAGCTTAACCCAAACTGGGTTCAACTCCAAAAAGTAATTTTTTTCTAATATTTATCTTTATCTTTTTATTTATTTTTTTGGAAAAGTTTTTACAAAATCCTTTGTCTTTGATTCACTTGCAGAAGCTGAAATCCTCTGCTAAGCCTTCAAGGCATTCCAATAACCTACAATCTGAAACCCCAAACTCTATATTAGGTAAACTACTAGCAATTTTTGTTTATTTTGTACTGGTTTGGAGAAAAAGAAATAAAATGTGTTTTTTTTGTTCAAGTTGAGAAAATTTAAATATTGATTCTTTTTGTGTCAGTTTTTGTTTTTTAAACATTGCGTGGGATTGTTTTGTTTATAGGAAAGCGTAAGGAAAAACCAAATTCAGACCCTGATGATGCTAAGCCTAGTTCTTTAATCCCAACAAATGATGATTCCAGGTGCTTTACTTGTTATCCGATGCTTCAAAAATCAATCAAACCGTTGTGAAGTTTCATCTTGTTTATGGTACTTTATTGTTTTATAGCATCTGCAATTGTACCAATTTACCATGAATTTTTCTGTTTAACATGATTATAGAGATTATTTGAACGGGAAAGAAAGCAATGGGATTGGTCAAGTATAATGTTTAGTTAAACAATTGTAAATATGGATCAACTCTAACACGAATTTCCCAGTGATTTCGAGTGGTTCAGCTTATCTACAAAACATGCAAACATTTTTTGAACTTTTGTTGGCCTATATGCATGCTTTCTTTTTGGCTACATATCTGTTGTTTAACGGTCAAATATTGAGAAGTGAAGAATTTGATGTTATCCCCTCTCTTATGATCTATTTTCTAAGGTATCAAGCAAGGAGGTAGAAGAATGTCGTTTTGGTTCATATATTTTAGTTTTGTTAAGGATCAGAGGTGTTGCACTAACTTTAACGGCTGGGATAGTAAGGCTATTCTATGGTGTGAAAATGTGATTTTGATGTACAATAGAACACTGCTAGAAGTTCCATTCTTCATTCATTTGAGTTGTTGTGATGGGGTCTTTTATCTTTGTATCTGTCTCCGCACATATGTACCACTTTGAATGACTCATCAATATTATTACAGTGTGACAGACGTACTAGCTATGGATTGTGAAATGGTTGGTGTTGGTCAGGGGAACAAGAGTGCTCTTGGACGAGTTACTCTGGTAATTTGGTTCTCCTTAGATCTTTGATTCTTACCGTTCACGTTTTATGATCTTACATTACCCATGGTCGGAATTCTACATGAGATAGACAAATATATAAAATAAATATCTATTTTTCCCCTTCTTATTTTGGAATTGTTATTCTTACACTTTTAAGAAATCTGATGCAGTGTAAATGCTCTCATGTTAAGGGGCAATTGCATTTCAGCATTTGTAATATGTTACCTTCGCACGTTCTTAAATTTCCAACTGTCATATTTTGTTTGTAAATAAGATACAGTTGTAATTTATATGCAGGAAAAATTAGATTCTATTTTGATTTAATTTAAGCATTACCATTTAACTAGATTTTGAGTTTGACATAGTAATCTTTTTAATGTCATTGATTACTTAGTATTTCAGTTCATGACAGGTAAATAAATGGAGAAATGTCATATATGATGAGTTTGTGCGGCCTGTAGAACGTGTCGTTGACTTCCGCACACATATTAGTGGCATTCGGCCTCGAGACTTGAAGAAAGGTTGGCTTTAATATGTTTTCCTAGTTAACCGAATGCTCTGAAACTTGGAGCATTTAAAAAGCCATTGTCTCAATTTTATGCATATCTGTTTTTCCAATACTTTGTGAGGTTGTTCTCCTTTTGTATTATTATATCCATTATCATTTCAAGTAAAGTTCCCTGTAAAACATAAACTTCATATGAAAAGAGGTAATTTTCTCTGAATCAAAATACATGATAAAAAAATAATAGTATAAAGTTTGAAAACATTTGCTCAAGTGTTGTGCGGGAAGGTTTGATTGCGTTGGGGAGGATTTTTTGGACGTAATGCATTTTCTCTTCTGCAGCAAAGGATTTTCGGGTTGTTCAGAAGAAAGTGGCAGAGTTAATCAAGGGAAGGATTCTCGTGGGTCATGCCTTGCACAATGACCTTAAGGTTATCCTTATCTGTTTTGTTGTTTGGTTTGTTTTTGTGGAAGTAGAAAAGTGACTGATTTTTATTTGGATGGCTTATTTTCAACAGGCATTACTACTAACCCATCCTAAGAAGGACTTGCGTGATACCTCAGAGTATCAACCCTTTCTAAAGTATTACTCCTTCATCCCTTACCTATTATGGCCTGGATGTCTGCGTTACAATTGGGTTTGTCGAGCAGCTTCTATGGTTCCTTTGTATAACAAGGTTTGTTATTGCAACAGGGTAGGACGCAGAAAGGCACTTCGGCATCTTGCAGCAGAGGTTCTAGGTGTTGAGATCCAGAATGGCGAACACTGCCCTGTAAGTAAAATGTTCATCATATTCTTTTTCTCCAAACACTTGAAAAAACATGAAATAATTTCATTGAAACTATGCATAAAATCGGTTGATTGATCTGCTATGCTCTAAACTTGTTTACTAGAATGTTGTTGGCGATACTGATCCAAATCTGAGATGCTGAAAGTCAAAGGCTTGTGATTGGTAATTTTGTTCATTTTAGTATTTCATTATTGAAGACCAAAGCATGTCAATGAAGCAGGATCTATTATGTTGTATTATTCGTAGGTCATCTCACAAGAGTGGGTAGTTTACTTTGGATTAATATTTGGGGCTGGATAGTGCCCTCTCGAAAGATCCATCCTGTGGAAGTGTGGATACCTTAATTAGAAAGGGGTTATTTTGTAGAAAGGGGTTATTTTGTATTTATAGAGCTATTATGCATGAAGATGCAGATAGCATAAATAAAATAAATCATAGCTCTTGTTGATAGAATTATGGCCTTATTCTAAAACATATTCGGGTTGTTCAGGAAATACTACTTGTTTTGCTAGACTTTGCTTGTTAATTGAATGTGTTTAGGGGAAAACATGGGACTGTCTTCCCATATGTTTGCTCTAAATCTAAGATGCTGCAGCTCCTAGCTAATATATGTTCTCATTTTGAAGGTAGACGATGCTCGTGCTGCGATGCTGCTTTACACGAAAAGCCGAAAGGAATGGGAGAAAAGTGTTGAGGGTCAATTAAGGCTCAAAGAAAAGCAGAAGAAACGGAAGCCCAGAAAGAAACTGAGGTCCGACATCAACCAAGACCATGCACCAACTGCATCGTAATGGTGGCTTGTCACATGATTCTCGGACTTCATATTCCGGAATCCTCAGAAAGATCACCTTCATAGAGAGGGATTCACAGAGTTCTTGCCATAAATCCGGACTGGAAGAATCAGATGATACAGCACCAGACGGTCATAGAGAGGGATTCACAGAGTTCTTGCCATAAAGGAGTTTGTGAAAACTTATATTTATCAGATCAAAAAAAATTAAGACAAGACAAGATGTTCAGATTTTAATTCAGACTTTATATTAACCAATGAAATTTTTTTGATTTTGTTGCATTTTATTCTCCTGTATATCATAGACTCGAATTACAAATAATAAATCTGGCAGGTAAAATTAAAATTATTTAATTAAATTTAAATATTCATATATTTATAAGATCCATTTATATTAATGACGTCAATGTTTTTACTATATTAAAAAATTGAATAAATTAATATTTTATTTGATTATTTTTATTTTGATAAAAATTACATAAAAAATAAAAATCAGATTAAATTTCTAAATAATTTTTTAATTTTAAATATAAATATTTTTAAAATTCAGAATCTAATTTATTTTATAGTATCATTAAGATTAGGATGTCCCGCCGTTGTCATCCTGAGATTCACTTCACTTGCTTTGGCGACAAAATTAGGGTCGAAAGTCGAAACCACCCACCAAAGAATTATATATAAAGCTTATATCTTTCTCATTTATTTTATTGAGTTCGTTCAGAAATTCCAAACCTTTGGTAACGACAAAAACTTGCCCCTCAACTCAACTCTTTATAGTTACGTTGTAGGTCAAACCCAAAGCATTAATCCAATTTTTATCTTTCAATAAATACAAGACAAAAAAAGCCCGCGCAGTAGACTGGGGGAATAGATGGGTCGGCCTCCGATTAATGGCGGCCCCGCCTTCCGTTTCACCCAAACTGAGGTACCCTTTTCTTTGCAAGGAAATTACTTCTATTGCATGTAGAGATGTTTGGTTGTACTAATCTGGATTTTTAGTTTAGAATTTCAAATGGGTCAATTAAATTCCAACTTTTTAATTTAATTCGTTTCTGGGTTTTTATTTAGGTTTTCTGCTATTTTACTGTCTTTGATTGCTTTGCTTTTTGAGTTTTTGGTTTGCCTTTCGTTAATGGTAATGTTAGGTATTGTTAAGAATTGTTAATCCAATTTTATTTATTTCTGGGAATTAAACGAAGCTATTAGTGCCTAGACTTCTTCAAGATTTTAATTTTTTTTATTATCTAATTTTAGCATATTTAGTAAATAATCTTATGCATTGCTCTGGCTCTTTTATAAAACGATCCCACCTCGATTCCATGTCAACTAGCCAAGGATTAGACCGTGATTTGGTAAAGCAAGGGTCAATTTGTCCTATCAAAGCACCTTTTTTCGAAAGATGAAACCTTGCGGATGATACCTTATATCGGGTGTAGTCCAATAATCTTTAATTCAACACGGTATTAAAATTAATAAGTTGTAATTTTAGTCAAATTTGCTTTTTTTTTCCTGAGCTTATTGCGTAAGCCCTTTTAATAACATCATGGATTAGAATTTGTTTGTCGGTTCTGTCTCTATGGGCTGTGTTTGATTATGTTGCAAAGCCGATTTCAATCAGCTGCTTCTTTGGTTATTGCTAAAGATGATTACAATATCGTTCTGTGTGTGAAACAATGTAGTATGGTTTTTCGTTTTAGCATCTTTTTTTTCCATTTTTTTAATTCTTTTAACAATGAGCTTGTAACATAACCCCTACATTAAGGTTGCGGAGATGGAGACAATTCTCCAAGAGCACCATAATCAGATGCCTGCTCGAGAGATCCTTTTAAGTCTTGCGGATAAGTTCAGGTATACATTAATTTCCCCGAGAACATTGTGTAGCATGAAGTCTTGTTCTTTCCTCCTTATAAGAAACTGCTAGGAAATTTCTTTGGTTGTAGTGAGTCAGCAGATAGGAAAGGGAAGATTATTGTGCAATTTAAGCAAGTAAGAACTTGGTTTCTTTTTTTTTTCTCCCAAATGAGGAGTTGTTTTCAGCCCATTAATCTGGATAACTTTTGTATAGATATGGAATTGGTTCCAGAACAGGCGCTATGCAATAAGGGCAAAATCAAGTAAAGTTCCATTTCCCGGGAAGTTAAACATTACATCTATGCATCGGGATGATTCCAATCCCATGAGAAATGTGGCTCAGCCTGTTGCTGCTCCCATGCCTTCTCTTATTACGGCTCCAATGTCTGCTTCTACAGGTAGAAGGATTTCCGATTTTAAATCTTAAGGCCTCCTTTCTTTTCCTAAATTAAGAGTTACTAAGGAGCAATGTTTAAAATCCCGACCAGAGATTGAACAGTAGGTCCCTCTTCTTACTTCAACTTGTCCAACCTGCTCTCCCCCAAAACAATAAGCAGAGAAGATATTGTGCTTTCTACTTTAGTTATCTTTTCCTCTTCTTTAATTATAGGTTGATTAAGAAGCCTAATCAATCAGTGATCAAAAAGAAACTCGAGTTCTTTTTCACTTTGAGTCTTCTGTGCCTCCCAGTGTTTATTATCTTCTTCGTGTTATTAATTTATTATCACAAGCCTGATTAGTAGTCCTCGTTCTCTGCACTCAGTTCCAGGAGCTGGAAGGCACGTGTCAGATTCTCATATGGAGTTTGAAGCTAAATCTTCAAGGGATGGTGCATGGTAAGTTTGCGATTCTGATCAGAATGCTTCCCTTCGTCTCCTAAACTTTGGTTTCCCTGATAAGTGAACATTTTCAGTAAACCTAATTCTTTTAAGTTTCCTGTTTCAGGTATGATGTTGCGACCTTTGTAGCCCATAGATATTTGGATACAGGCGATCCGGTAATGTTTTAGCCCAATGTCAATGCATATGCCTGTGTTACTGATTCACTGTTGCATGAGTTACCAACTTGATTTATCTCTTCTTATTTCTTTTGTTTTACTAACTTGATTTGGAATTCTTGTGTTTTACCAACTTGGATCATTCTCTATTATTACCTTTATGGCCCATAGATATCTGGACACAGGTGATCCGATAATATTTTAGCTCGACGTCATTGCACGTGCCAGTGCTATTGATTAACTGTTGCATGAGTTCATAGATCATCAACTTAGATTATTCTCTTCCTATTTTTTATGTTTACCTCATCTCATTTTTTTGCCTGAAATTAGTTTGATACTTTCTTTTTCCGTTTCACTTTCGGATGGTTCACTTTTATAAATTTTCTAATGGTTTATGCAGAACGGTAATTTTCCGCCTAAGAAAAGAATTCCAAAATATTTGTTGTCTTCTGCAGGAAGTAAAGGTTCGGATTGCTGGTTTTGGACCAGAGGAGGATGAGTGGGTTAACATTCGCAAGCATGTCAGGCAACGGTCCCTCCCATGTGAAGCATCTGAGTGTGTTGCAGTCCTTCCTGGGGATCTTGTACTGTGTTTTCAGGTAGATTTCTGCTTAAAATTTCCGATCAATGCTGGCATGCAAATTTGTGCGTGTATATAGATATCTCTTAATCAAACCTTTTCTTAGATTTCATTTTCTAAATGCTTTCAAATTTTTCAGGAAGGCAAAGATCAGGCTCTCTACTTTGATGCCTATGTTCTCGATGCTCAAAGGCGGAGGCATGACATACGAGGTTGTCGTTGTAGATTTCTGGTGCGCTACGATCATGATCAGTCAGAGGTAGCTATTAACTCCATTATTGCGTTGTTCAAGTCCTACCTTTGATTATATTCATTGTAATAGCATTAATCCAATCTCTTAGGAAATTGTACCTCTGAAGAAGATCTGCCGTCGCCCAGAAACTGATTACAGATTGCAGCAACTTCATGCCGCAAGTAACTTGGCATTCCAAAATCAACACAAAAGTACTGCTGCTCCTTCACCAAAGGCTATCGGTTCATCATCAGAAGCAATGCAAAAGAAGCATAATCAAGATCAATCCAGAACAGCCCCGGATTCACAAATTAATGCGTTTGTAGCTGCACAACATACAAATCAAGAATCTAAGATTCCAGGAACAATGACTACTAATGTGACTGATCCTGGAATTTCCCTCATCGACAACACCGTGGCTGCTACTTCCATTAGCACCGGCATTGGCCAAAACACGCAGGAAGCGAAGTTATAAGTGGTTTGGGATTTCAGAGACTGATTTACAGTGGGACAAAGGTCCCTTAGGATAATATCATGTAATTAGCAGAAATTCGAGTTTTTTTTTTTTATGGATGATATTATTTCTGTTTAGATGTTCTGCTTTCTTCAACAGTTTTTGTTCTTGTGTGTTTAATAGTTCGGAGATTTCATTGAACCTTTTTATCCGTGGCCGTGGAGTATAATCTTTTAAGCTTCTTTTCTGGGAAATGTCCCCTCTATCTTTGCACTTTTTGCCTCAAATCCTCCAACTCTTTCTCTATAATTTTATTATTACTATTTTTTTTAATTCAAATCAATTAAACAAAAAAATAAAAATGAAAATGAAAATGAAAAATTTACTAGTTGAACTTCTTGTTGGATTTTTGAAAGGGTAAATTATACCAATGGTAAATAATGTTATAATAAGTTTTTGTTTTTCTACTAAAGTTTCTAAAGTTACAAATTGGTTATTAACGTTATTGATTTGTAACAAAATGGTCACTAACATTGTCGATTTGTAATTGGTCACTATGCCTTTGTCTCCATTAAAAAGTTGGCATGATAATGTCAGAAAATGGTTAATATTTAGTTTTACCCCTAAATGCTAAAATATCAAATAAATCATTGGACAATGATTTTATATTTTATTTACCCCATAAACTTTTTAGTTCCATTTTTTTTTCTAAATATCCCACCACATCCACTATATTCGAACCACCTTTCTTGCAAAATAAAAAATAGAGATTTAAAAATCGTTTCTTTTTCATTTTTTATATATACTTTCTCATTTTCATTTTTTAGGATGAGATTGTTACTGCAAGAAAACAACAAACGACAAATTATGGTGTTGTTAAAACAAATGAAGTCAAATGCATTTATTTTTTACTTAATCAAAGATACCAAGATATACAAAAAGCAAAAAACAAAACAATAGAGCTTCAAAATCTATTGAAGAAGCTGGAGATATATAACCATGCATGGCAAAAAGTGGCGCATAAGAGCAAAGCAATGGTTGTGTCTCAAAATAATAAGATGGAAAACACTACAAAAACAAGTAGTTACCAACAATGAAGGCGACGATGCAGAATCATAGTGTGAAGTTAAATATTAACAAGACGAAGAAAAAACAAGAATGACAATAGTTTATAAACGTTGTGATACTCCAAGTGTTTACGTTTTGGACTCTACAAGAGTTGTTATATGATTGATTAAGTTAGCAAACAACCATATTACAAATTAGTAACACATTACATCAATCACTAACCCAAATATTTTCGTTTATTTATCGTTTTAGGTCAAATTATTTCGTTAATTTTATGTGCCTAGTGATGGTATTTCTATGTTGGTATTTCCTATCTTATTGTATAGTTTATGGTTGCCTTATTAGTTTAAAGTTTGCTATGAAAACTAGTGCTAGTTTCAGACTTGCAGTTGCCAACCTAATTCTTCATGTTAAATCACCAATTGTATGTCATGTTGCTTGTTAATCACTCGAGGAAGAAAAGAACAAAGAATGTGCATAAATATAATCATATCTATTCTTATTGTTGGATGTTGTTTTATTGAATTTGGTCATAGTTTAGTGATTTAGTAAGATTCAAAGATTATTAACACAAGCTCAAGTTGGATAATTTTCATTCACTCTAAAGTTGGATTTAAATCCGACCCGGATCAGATAAAAACCGATCTGGTTTTTTCACCTAGCCAAAAAAATCGGATTTTAAGAAAATCGGTTCAGATCCTAACCGGTTTGGAGGGTCGGATGGTGTAACCGGTTTCGGTTTGAAAAAAAACCGGTTTTTTTTTTAAAACCGGTTTTTAATCCGGTAAAAAAATCGGTCGTCCAATTTTCCCCCAAACCGGTTATATTAACGGCTAGTTTTTTAAATCCCAGACCGGATTTTGTTTCAGATAAAAAACCAGTTTTTTATCCGGTTTTTTTCAAACCGGTTTTTAATATGGTAAAAAAACCGGTCGTCCAATTTTTTCCCAAACCGGTTATACTATTCGGTTTTAAAATATCTGATCCGGTTTAAGAAAACCAGTTTTTCCCAAATCCGGTTTCAGATATTTTTTGCGCAAAATTAGATATTCGGATTTTTTGTGCACCTCTAATTCACTCAATGCAATGTTACTTTATGTAAAACATTAACTAAGCTCAAATGACAATTATTAACATAAGAAAAACAAGTTTTTTCTCTCACAAACGCAAACACTTATTATCATAGCGTTTGTAAATCATTATCGTTCTTCTTCTTTCTTCATCTTGTTGATCTTTAATTTCTTACCATGATTTTGCATCTCTACTCTATTGTCACAATTACTTGTTCTTATAGTGTTTCTAGTTTATTGTTCTGAGATACAAGCATAGCTTCGCTCTCATGCGTCACTTTTTTCCATGCATGGTTATCCATTTCCATCTTCTTCAACAAGTTTTGAAGCCCCATTGTTTTGTTTGTTGCCTTTTGAATCTCTTATTCTTTTTGATAAAATAGATGCATTTGACTCCATTTGTGTTAACAATATTGCAATATGTCATTTGTTGTGTTCTTGCAGTAACAATATCAACATCTCATCTTAAAAAAATGAAAATGAGAAAATATATATTGAAAAGGAAAAATAATCTATTTTCAAATCTTCACAATTTTTTAATTTGTAAGGAAGATTGTTCGAATATAAGGGAGGTAGTGAGATATTTGGAAAAAAATTGAAATTATAAAGTTTTTGGTAAATTAAATATAAAATCATTGTTCAACAACTTATTTGATGTTTTAGCTATAGGTTAGGGGTAAAAATAAATATTAACCATTTCTTTAAAGTTGTCACATCATCATTTTAACAGTGGATTTCAAAGTGACCATTTTGTTATAATTTGGTTATGTTAGTAATTATTTTGGTACAAGTCGGTAACGTTAGTGACTATTTTGTTACAAATCGATAATGTTAGTGACCAATTTGCCACTTTTAAACTCCAATGAAAAAAAAAACTTACCGGAATATTAACTACCATTTTGTAGTTTACCCTATTTTAAAATCTTTTGAACCCTAATACCAGCTAGCCAACCAATAGCGGTGTGGCCCAAGCTTGGACCGCCTAATCTAGAATCGTGACTATTTTGTTACAAATCGATAATGTTAGTGACCAATTTGCCACTTTTAAACTCCAATGAAAAAAAAAACTTACCGGAATATTAACTACCATTTTGTAGTTTACCCCCACATAACATGGCAAAATCTCATGATTTTTTGTTACTAAACTACACTGTTCATTTAATTTTTAAGGTGTTTTCCTTTTAGTTTTGGACTTTTAAAAGTTGCATTATAGTTACTAAACTTTTAATTAACTTTCATTATGGTTATTGTCGTTAATTAATGTTAAAAAATCATTATGGTTATTGTCGTTAATTAATGTTAAAAAATCTTAAAACCCTTAAATTTCTTCTAAATGACAGTCATCGTTTCTCCTTTCATCGTCATTTTTATTGACATTTAGTGGTTTTTTCAATAAAAAAATCATTGAACTACTATTATTCTTCTCTTGGTTTCCTTCGATTCAAATTCTTCAAACAAACCTTTCGATCTCATTGAAACTAAAATCTATAATTTTCTGATTTGCCATGCTTGAAGCTTAACTATGTTAATTTTTTTTTACCAAACATAGTCTTTCTATTGTTGGACTTGATTGATAATTGCTTCATTCATCAAAACTCATCAAGGTAGAGATGAATAAATTTTCTTTTCTTCTCTTTTTTTCTTTAATCAAGGTAGAGATGAATAAATTTTCTTTTCTTCTCTTTTTTCTTTACTTCTTTGTTTGTTGTTTATTCGTTGTTATTAGTGGTTGTGCAATTAAAGACTGTTGGTAAAATAGACTGCAAAACCACACCGTTAGCACTGACAGGAAAGATAAACAGTAATTGAAAAAGACCAGTTTGGTAAACCATGTCGTGGTATAACCACTGCCTTAGAAACGAATTCGCCCCGATGTGTGTAATCGCTGCAGTAGGCGGACCGTCCCCTGAGGTTAACACGGTCGCTCCGAATTCCGTACACTCGAAATCGGAGTGGACTGTCGGTGGTATTGCTCTTCTTATCGGAAAGCACACAGAGAGAATATTTAGAAAACACTTGAAGAGTAAATTCTGAATGTTGAGAGTGAGATAAGAAGCTGAATATAACTCTCTATTTATAGGCTAGAAATAGGGTTAAAATCGTCCATAAAATTTCAGGATTAAATCTCTTTTTTGTAACAGCTGAAACATCTAGATAAACCTGACTCAGAAATAGTCCAGGTTCATTGCATCATTATTCAACTGTTATAACTCCCGAAATTATATCATGTAACCTCTGGAATTAAATCAAATAACTCTTGTAACTCCTGATATTAAGAGCTTGTCCCCTTTGTACAAAGCTGGAAATCAGTCCAGATACATCTTAACATTTTTTATTTAATTTAGGAAAAGCTGTTTAACTTCTGATAACTCTCATAAACCAGCTGTTATCATTTAAATTTAAACAGTCCTCAGCAGCCTATAAATATCAGTTGAAATCTTTCACACTTTTCCATTTGTTTCTTTCAAAGAGAAATTACTCAAGAATTTTCTCTAAAAAGATAGTATCCGCGCGGACGTGTCGAAGACACGTATTACCACGACCACGACCACGAGCCGAGCCGTGCCAAGCCGAGACGAGATGGACGGCGGCGACAACGGTGTGCGAGAGTCCCCCTTGTTCTCTTTCACTCAACAAGGCCACTAATGCGAAAGAATTTCTTCTGAAACTCGAAAACAAACTTTCCAGAAGAGCAATAGCGAGATTAGTTGCTTAAGCACTAGTGAATGTATCTGGAACTAGTACATAGTGATAATGAGCAATCCTTCTCTTAGATAAGTGAAACTAGTTTGGAACTTTCTAAGATGGGGGTAAACTTATAACACACAACTAACCCCTTCATCCACCTGAGTCCTCGATGTGTAAGATATATATATATATACAAAAGTATATATTTGGCCATCTTACCTCAGGATTCTAGTAAGTGTGCTAGAAAAATGGCCCAACATTTTTCATAGAAGGCGGCTAACCCTTCTCACTTACATAGGTTATTTCATCAAGTTTATCTCGATATAAACC